CCACCGTCATTTACCCGACGGGAGGGGTGAGTGAGTGAGCCCTGCAATCTAGAATTTGACCACTGATGTCACTGTTTCCAACGGTTTTCAACCCATTTTACACACTGGCCCTTTAACATAGGGGCAGAGCATGTGAGCGGAGCTGGAGTGGAGCGGAAGGATTTTGTGTTGAGCAAGGAGCGGCTATTTTTTTTAAAAGGTGGAGCGGAGCCTTATCTCTCGCTCCAATTTCGCTCCGGTGGCTCATGCCCCACCCAGAATGCATCTTTGCGCCTGTGCACACCCACACTATTTTCTTTCAAAACTATGGAGTTTACTGTGTACTTCAGAAAAGAAACTGAGAAGAGAAGCAGCGATACCTTGGAGAACGGTCCCTAACTGCAGGGAGAGGCGAGAGGGCTTCCCCGGAGGTCGGCCGCTTAACCTGGTCCGTCTCCTCTACACTTTGACTTATTTCCACCCTGCCAACAGCGGTACTGTGTAGAACAGTCCCTAACTGCGGGGAGAGGGGAGAGGGCTTCCCCGGAGAATCTACCAAGCTCATGTTTTATTTGTGAATAGAAGATTACAGGTTAGGGTAGTACAACGCAGTTTTTTTTAAGCGGAGTGGAGCGGGATAAAATTTATGATGGAGTGCAGCGGAGCGGAGCAAAGAATGCGCAGAACCAAGTGGAGAGGACGAGTGGTGCAAAGTGACAGGTCTGCGAGTGAGGAGCGGAAATTTTCACCCGCTCCGCTCCGCTCACGTGCTCTGCATAGGGGGGAATCAAAATAAAATAAATAAATAAAATAAAAATCAACCAGCCACCCTCCTCCTCTGACAAGTAAAGAACAGTCCCTTCATAAGTAAAGAACAGTCCCTAAAGTGCGGTGTGGTTTGTGGGCCGTTATCTGCCACAGAGAGAGAAATGTGAATGGCTCATTTCTCCTCTGACACGCCACATGCCTGTGTGCTGCCATGGCTCGGTTGTCCAGGTACTTTTGGGCAGTCATGACGCCAAGAAGAGGACATTATTGGAGCCGGACTTCTCCGTCGTCGGTAGGCCTATGGCCGCCGTATTTGACAGGAATACGTATTCTTGTCCGTGTCTGTGACCCCCGTTCAACCCACAACCGGCGGGATTCGCCTTTCGTTTCTGCTGCTGGTTGAAATCTGTACTCGCACAGCGTGCTGAATGATTTATTTTGCTCAAACAAAACTATTTTTAGTCGCAAATGCGAGTGCAGTGACGGACGGAGTAAAATGTTGCCACACTGCCGACATTTTACTCCGTCCGTCACCGCATGCTGTTTGATTGCGTTATCAAAACACGCCGATATTATTCGGCCTTGCTTTTCACTTATTCCACCGAATACCGAATGTGTGGGGGGTTTTTTTGCAATATTTGGCCGAATATATTCGGTTACCGAATATTTGGTGCTTCCCTAGTAACATATTTCAGGGTTCAACGCTAAGGTTTTTTTTCACTTGCCCGGTCGGGCAAGTTGGTCAGAGATCTACTTGCCCGAAGTCAGTTTTTACTTGCCCTATAAAAATTGTTTAATTTAAGCGGCTATCAAATAACAAAGACTGCAGTTATTTTTATGTTATATAATCTTTATTCACACTGTATTAATTAAAACAACATATGTCATGTATTGTAGCTTAATTCCTACACAAAAATGACAGTGTCAGGGCTTAAAGTGAAAAATTTGTCAATCTTTCTCCGTCTATAATTTTGTGCCCTACTTGAGCCATGCCCACCTCTATTTATTTTTCACCCCTCTCTCCAGTTCTGCTGTATTAACACCGGGTTTAATATATTTTGCTTCCATCTCTCTGCCCTACTCTACTCTACTTCAACACTACTTAGCTCTCTCTCTACTCTACCAGTAGACTACCACATCCACCTGTTGCACAAAACGCACACAGCAGTGTTTCCCCTAGGATGGAGTTGTAGCAGCAGAGGTGAAGCACACGCATGAAAAATAATTTTCACATGCGTGAAACTTTTTTGTATGCTTGCAAAGCACAGCCTGCTGGGATGTTTCTATGTATCTACTGGCACCAGAACGGCTCTTTAGGACTAAGTACATACAGTACATGTGTGCACAGTATGAGCAGGTGAAATGTCTGTCTAGCTTACATATGATGTGTCTCAAGATTTAGGAACATACAATTTTATTGAATATAATAAAGTAAAAAGTCACTTGACATGCTGCTGTTTTGTGCTATGACTTATTTAAGTGTTGGAAGTTGTTATTTACGTGACAACACCTGAACGCAACACAAGCTCCGCATGAGTGCCGTGCTGAGCTGCTGTGCAAACAGCGTCTTTGTCTGTGCGTAACAGCAGTCTGTTGATGGTTATTTACACACTGTCCATTTCAATAACTTTGTCAGCTGACAAACTGCACCGGGCTCGGGGTCAGGTTTGGTCAGGAAAATGCGGCCCAAGCCGCTCTAGCGTGCTCAGCTGTGTGTGAGGCGGAACTCCGCCATGCGCAATACAGAGAGCAGAGGAGAATTGTTAACGCGTGACCATGTAGAGACAGAAATGACACGATGGCATATCACCATAAATAGTATATTGTTATGTTATTATATGAAGCGTCCGTCGTGCAAAATAATATCAATGGGGGCTGTGGGCAGGACATTGTTACACAGCGTGTGGCTGTGACTTCAGGCAGAGAGCCCACTGCATCAGAGCCGAAGAGCACGTTTTAAAATACATTTATTTTATCAATTAGTTATTAACTTTTACTATTTTGAGCAACTTGCCCGATCGGGCAAGTGAGTTGTTAGTTTACATGCCCGACCGTGAGTTTTACTTGCCCCGGGCAATCGTTATTGGTGAGCCCTGTATTTACTTTTATACAGTGAGGTTTTACTATGCTATGCCTTTTTTTGACATATTTTTCCCAGCTTTTTTTATGACATACTTTACCATGACGTTTTGGACATAATATACACATTTTTTTGTTTACTGTTATAACTTATACTATGACTTATTTATTACTTTTTTAAATACATTTTATGACATAGTGACTTTTTAATGTTTTGTAACTTACTATACTATGACTTATTTTGAGATATTTTAACATGACTTTTTAATTTACTTAGAAATACTATACTATGACTTTTTAGCCACATTTCCACCAAAACACTTTCTATATGGTACCTTTGAAACCAAAAGTAACCCTTCAGACATGGTACCTAGACCCTAGTGTTTCCACCACAAACAGTACCCTTAAATGTGGGCGAGGTTGTTGTCACTCACTGTTCCATCCAGCACTTACTGTATTTCCTCATTACTGGTGACACAGATGGAAGTCTGCATCTTGTTTATCGTCCACAGAATGAGGCTGTACGCCGACATTTTCAGAACAAAATAGAACAGGCTGCACTGAGAGTCTCTCTCCATTGGATATTTAAAAATAGCGGGTTTGTGCATTAGTCTCTCTAAGGCAAGCTCAGGGCTTTAGTGTTACATAGCCTGCAGAAATGATGCTCTGCAATATTTTTTTTTCTGCGAGTGAAGATTAGAATGTATGCAGTTCACATAACCTGTTCGAAATTAATACATATAAAATGCTTGAAGATCCACTAACTATTAAAAGTGTATGTCATACAACAACTAAAGTGATGGTCAAAGTTTTAGTACCAGATCTGTGTGCTAGGTACCCCAACAGAAGGGGGACCAAACATAGGACCGGTACAGAACGGTTCCATTGATACCATCCGCAACTGGAATGGAAAAAAAGTGCACCGAACTGAACTGTACCGTACTGCTTGATGGAAAGGGGGCTTTTGACTCACTATACTGACTTTTTAAAAAGAAAAATACTTTATGCCATGCAATATCATGACATTTTTTTATGGTGAATTTTTATGAATTATACTTTGACTTTTTTGGACGTACTTCACAATGATTTTTATCTTTGAGTTTTTTGAAATACTGTGAAGACTTTTTAAAAAATATATATATTCTCTACTCTGACATTTTACATTTTATCGCAAGATATTTTATTATTATTAGTATTATTATTATTATTATTATTTTTGTTTGTTTTTTACTTCTCATGACATGACTTTTATTTGGACATAATGTATTCTGGATTTTAAAGAAGAAGAAACAACAGTGACCAAAAGAATGAGATGACAAAAACAAGACTCAACCTTTAAGAAAGGGGAGCTCTGACCTCTGGAGGGAGTTCACAGTAGAGCCATGGATTGGGCATGTGATGAGCATCCTCCAGGGCACCTCCCTTTAAAGGGGGTAGAGGGGTACACTCAGAAAACCCTGCAGAGATAAAGTAGATGCAATAAATTCTTTTAATCAATTTACATTGTTTTGGATTTGATATTCAGTTGCATACAGTCAGAGTTAATGACTTTAGTTGTTCTTTTATCTCAGACATGTGTTAGGAGGTTACATACTTTGACATGTTTCGGCGGAAACTTCAGCCTTCCTCAGAAGTGTCACTTGGTGGTGGTTGTGACCTGTCTTTATCATCTGATCTGTCAATCAGCTGATATTAGGGAGGCGTAACCATCCTGTCAGCTTTGACAGGACAATCACGCCACCTGCTGTCCGTCCACCACCCCTGATCAGCTGATAAAGACGCGTCACAACCACCACCAAGTGACACTTCTGAGGAAGGTGGAAGTTTCCGCCGAAACATGTCAAGGTATGTAACATCCTAACACATGTCTGAGATAAAGAACAACTAAAGTCATTATCAGAAACTGAAGACATAATGACCATTGAACTATACAGTCAGTGTATTTGGAGTGTCCAGTACTGTCAACATGGTAAATTTGAGGTCATTGTCAGGGATTTAGTTACCTGAATCTGAAGTAAACAAATGCATTTTTTGATTTACATATTTCGGGGATTGATCTTTAAAATGTAAATTATCACTCATGTATATTACATTATGTACAGCACCTTTCATGTCAGAAAGCTTCCTGCCCTGATCTGATTTTATGTTTTTCCTTTTCTTTTTTTATTCCGCAGCATCAACGTTGCTTCCCCCCACCATGGAGATGACATGGAGGACAACACGTGTCAGTGTTTCTCAGTTGGTGGGTCGGGACCCAAAGATGGCTGCAGGAAGCTCAGAGTCACAGCTCAGATGGATGACATGTTAACTAAAACGATGGGATTGTGCCTTGCCTTTGGGTCCTGATACAGCTGAGAAGCACTGAGACGATGGAGCTGAAGTAACGGACAAAGCATCAGGATGTAGTTTGTTTCTGCTAATGAACTGTGGGGACCAATCGAACGTGCATGACGACTCACCAAACGTCACCACGAGAGTAAGTTCCAGTTCTGCTCCTGTACAAATAATAAGACTTTTATTTCGGTGAGAATGACAGGGCTTTTATTTTGGCCTTTTATGTCATTTTTCTTACAAAAAAAAAAAAAAAAAAATGTTTTTAAAGTAAGAGGTGAGACCTCGCATGGTTTTCTCATTAATATAAGGTAACTTTTTTTTTTTTTTTTTCCAAAATAATGGACCATTTTCTCAAGGGAATGTCCTCTCCCCACACAGTGAAACCATTTTGCTGTTCTGAAATTAAAAAAAGGTTTTTAAAACCATACTTTTTTTCTGTGAATAGACAACTCAGATTAGTGCCATGTTTTTTTGTAAATCAAAAGAAATCAGTGCTGGAATGAATTCCATGTCTGTGTTTTAATTTTTTTTATTTTTTAAATCTGAATGACATCTAAATATAATGGGGACTGAATCCATTATACTGTTATGAGTTCTTTTGAATATGGTGATAATTTCCATGTTAGCAGGTGTTTGGGTCCATTCAGTTTCAATGTCATCAATTCAGTTTGTGAATTTACCTCCAAACATACAATTCACTGAAGGATGGAGGAAAAACCAGACACTAACTCTTTAAAGGGAAAATCCACCCTGAAACTCCTCATTTAAGAATTGTTGCATTTTATAATGTCTAATCAGAGTTATTATACTCGACATAGTGGACTGAATTATCCCACAATGCAACTATAAACGTCGTGTCAGTAACTTAAGACTTATTTACCTTCATGAATACACAAGAAATGCTGAAAACTTCAACTGGAGCTCGACTGAAATTTGCTTTTTGAGGCTAGCATTAATATTTAAAATTCCAGTGACAATATACTGGCTTATATAAACTCTTAACATACATTTATATAATAAAAAATCCTTAGATTAAGTTATTAGTAATTTATAACACCTGCAGGACACTAGTGTTATGTAGAAATTCCGAGACAGCTAGTATTATGAAATTTAAACATAAAATATCTATATTGCCAGACCAGATGTGACTTTTGTCCTTTCTCACAAAAAGAAAACCCAGTTGTTAATGTGATGCAAGGCAAAGCACAGTAATTTTCTTTTTTATTATTAATCTGCCAATTGTTTTCATTTGGCCCAATGAATGTCAGAAAAATGCTGATCACAGTATCCCGGAGAGCCCGAGGTGACACATTCAAATCACTCAGCAGTCCAAAACCTAGAGATTCAACCTATAGTAATAAACAATAGAAAAAAAATCATTAACAGCAGATGTTTCCCTGAAAAGTGTCTCAAAAGATCAATCAATCAGTCAATCAAAACTATTGCTGATTGATTTTCTGCCGGTTGATTTTAATTGACTAACTATTTTAGCCTTAAAGACATGTTTGTTGTTAAAGCGCCTCAAACTGCAACGTGCAGTTCAATCACTGCAAACTAAACATTATACCCTTCATGAGGGATTTATGTCAGCACTGAATGCTGTATGGACTGCATTGCTTTTTGCTACTAAAGTTATTTATCAAACACAAATAGATTAAAAAACAAAAACATTCTTGTGTTCCAGCTTCTTGAAAATGAACATTTGCTGCTTTCTGTTTCTTTTTTTGTTTTGATCACAGTAAAGTAAATATTTCTCTTCTTTTTTTCCCCCTACTGTTGGTCCATGTTATGTAAAGATGTCACTCTGGCTCTGGGAAGTCCTGATTTTTTACTATTTTCTGATAAATAATCAATCAAGGCAATGAGGGAGTAGATTATTCAATATTTTATAATATATATTGACAAAATAATTAGTTGAGGCAGTAAAGGGCAGATTAATCAATATTTTAAAAAATATCTAATGTCTTGTTTTGTCTGACCAACAACCCCAAAAAAAAAAATCAGTTTATAATGATATAAAACAAAGTACTTGAGAATGTTTTATTAGACTACGTTAGTTTTAGCAGGGTGTACCTAGTTAACTGGACACAGAGAGTAGTCCAGGAGTGTCAAACTCATTTTGGTTCATGGGCCACACACAGCTCAATTTGATCTCAAGTGGGCTGGATTACTGAAACCACTGCATAAGAACCTATAAATGTCAACCCCTTGATTTTTTTGTCATTCTAAAAGGGTCATCCATTTACCAAACAAAAAAGAAAGAAAGTTTTTCCACATTCAGTCAGTCTACTACTCACATGCATTACATTTTTACACAATTGTCCACTGCAGTGGAAGCTATTGAAGAAGCAGGTTAAGTCATCCTCTGCCTTAAAGTCTGAAGTTTAGTTAATGCCTCAGCAGCAGGGTTCCACCAATATTGCTTTAAGGTAGAAGTCTGATACAGGTTCTTTTGTACTGAAGCTGCTGGTTGACGATGTTTTGCACAATGTTTAATATCTTTAAATATGAACGCAGTAAGCATTCATAATTATTTCAGAGAGCTGTATTCCGGTCAGGGTGAAAAGGCCTCTAAGGCAGTATTTACATGAAGTATCTACTCACTGTTTAAGTTGCTCCTGAAACCTCTCAGCCTTCACATTTGCATCAACATTAGGTCTGCAAGGTCATCTAGAGGGCCGGATTGGACCCTTTGGCGGGCTGGTTCTGGCCCCTGGGCCATATGTTTGACACTCCTGGAGTAGTCCTTGACATATAAATACCAGTGTAAATGCTTACTGATGTAATCAGGCAGTTGTCAGTTCAGATATATAAGCACATGTTAGCATCAGATTACTTTTTTTTTTTAATTTAAGTTTTTTATTTCGTTTTTTTCTACTTGAAGAACATCAACACAAAAAAAACCCAAATACATACATGTACATTCAAAAACAACAAATACATAGCCACTCTTCCATTGTTTTGATTGTCTCTCTCCAGAAAGGTAGAACTAGGGGCCAGGCCCATATTGCATGGATAAAGGTGCCTTCCTGCCTTTACATTTCCAACAAAGATTATTTTCTGAAGAAATTATTATTATTTTCTACCCATTTTGATGACTAATATTGTTGAAGTACCATATAATGTGTACATTTTCCCTCAGCTTCTCTTGTAAAAAAAAAAAAAAAAAAAAAAAAAAAAAAAGGCAGTTAGATAAATGATGTGTTTTGAAGGTGGATTTTTCCTTTGAGCTCTGCGTTAAAGCTTTGATAAGATTTTTTTTTACAGATGTTGGAGGTTGTTACAAACCGAACTTCATTCATTTTTTAGACACTTTCCCAGATCACTTCTTATTTGGGTCTTGTTTTAAACAAGCAGATTTATTGATCGACTTGAAAGGGAGATGGACCCAAAAACTGTTTGTGTCCTTGTCCAAAAAAAAAAAAAAAAAAAAAAAAGAGTAAAAGGCATGTGTGCTCTACTTCAGGAAACAGGCAACTTTACCTCAGTCAGTTAAGCTACAAACTCGGTAAGATTGTGACATTTACACTTTTACGACAGTTTTCTTTTTCTAGAGAATTCAATACTGTATGCATGAAAATACGAGTACACAATAATAATTATGTCTTTTCAGATGGCGTTACTTTTTTTGTTTTTGTCCTTGCCACCAAAGTAAGTGAATCACTTTGTAAAGAAAAAAAAAGAAGACATAGTTATTAGTGCGTTTCTTTGCTCAAATACGGGTTAACTAGTAAAACAATATCTTTCAGGTTTTCCACAAGAATTACAGACAATATTTTAGGGATGAGAAACCACAAGCACTTGGCTCGGTTCCATGGGAACTTTTTAACTTTTCATATGTGGGGTTAAAAAAAAAGACAAAGAAATAAGCTTTTATTTTGCTTTTCTCTGCTCTCTCTTCCTGTGTTTACTGAACCGTGTAGGACTCTGTTAGGATATGCAAACATCAAAGAACAATCAGTGGGTGGAGTGGTGGTTTGGGTTTTTTATTGATCCTTATATGAGCTCTGTAAGTTACGCCTTTCTGCCATTCTTTGAAATGCTTTAATAGCCAACAGTTTTTAGTAGTTAATTTATTTATTATATCTGGACTTTCATGGATATCTTTTTTTGTCTGCAAGCAAAAAATAAAAAGTGAAAAAAAAAAAAGATTGATTCAGTTGCTTTTTTGTTTTTTAGACTCACTTTAACGTGTGGGCAATGTTTTGAATATATCGGACATATCTAGAGCTATTTAAGTTTTGTATTTTTCTTTCTTTTTTTTTTTTCCCCCCCAAGTCATTTTAGTTTGTTAGTTTCCAGATTGAGTTTGCTGGTTTTATTAGTTTTATTTTTTATTTGATTTATATTATGGTATTTGTCAGTGGCAAGATTTAAGAAGTTCAGAATAATTATTACAATACAAACACAACATTTGACCAAATTTACAAAAACTAATACTAAATGTATTTCCTGAATATTTTTATTTTACAGTTTTGTAAGTACGCCATACCGTTTCAGTTAGTTTTCAAGAACACAAGGGAATTTCTTCAAATTTGGCACAAATGTTCACTTGAACTCAAGGATGAACCAACTGGATTTCTGTGGTAAAAAGTCAAGACCAATGTGACTGTGCATCTGTCTCACATTCGTGAACATGATATTTTAAGAACACCTTCAGGAAATTTCTTTAAATTTGACACAAACGTCCCCTTGGACTGAAGAATAAACAGGTTAGAATTTTGTGGTCAAAAGTCAAGGTCAGTGTGACCTCACAAAACATGTCGTTGGCCATAACTCAATAACTCATACGCTAATTATGACAAGACTTCACACAAATTGCTAATAGGATAAAATGATGAAGTGATGACATTTATATCCAAAAGGTCAAAGGTTCTTGGGAACAGAAAGGGAGACATTTAGTCAGATGCTGAATTGGTGACACTGATCTTGAAACTGTGCTGATTGTATAGATCTTCTGTGTGTGAAGCGTTCATGTTTTCACAGACAAGGATATAAACTGTAAGAGAAACTTGACTGGAGCACAGAGGCATACAACCACAGGGCCGTAATTCTGGTTTTAAAAAATGTGTTTACACCTCTCAAATAGGGAAGCAGAAACAGTTATTTGCTTTGGTACAAGACCCAGTACTGTTCCTGCATTAGTATCATTTTATTTTTCATAACATTTTAAACATTACTCAGCTTCAGTTTGAACTTTTGGTTATAGATCCAACATGCTTCTGTGTAAATTAAATCACCTGATGGGGTCCAGCCAGCGTTCAGCTCCTGTCAGGTGGAAGGGGGAGAGGTCACATGACATGCACATCCATCCATTCAGATCGACTGCTGGCATTTTGTAGGTCCAGCTGTCTCTGACTTGATCTGAAAACAGCAGAAAAAAACCAACAGTTGAGATTCTGCTCTGACTTCATTTAATCCTACACATTTTCACCAACAACTAAAAAGCACCAAGTTTCAATCAACAACTTATCAGCTTCAAATGGTGCAAATTATCTGAATCTTATCAGATGAATTGATTCCAATCAGTTAGCAGGAAATCCTGTTTCTGATGTTTAACACCAAAGTCTCATACCAAAGAGGAGAAATGAGTTTTCTTAATGTTGTTTAGATTTCATTTGAGTTGTTCAGATTAAACATGTTTGGTTGTAAGCAGACTCAGACTAACATTTAGTCAGAATGTGGTTTATTTTTTCAGGCTGTACTTGTGCTAGAAACCCAAAATACATGTTTACATCATTTAATATTTAAAAAAACTCATACTGTGTGTGCCTGTCTTCACCCTCTGAAATGTTCCATTTTAGTGCCTGTCTCTTTAAGCTCCCCCTCCTGAAAAAGCCCATTCTGCTCTGATTGGTCAGTGTTTACAGGTGTTCCTATCTTGGCATCTCTGCAAGGTCATAGAGTGTAGCAATTATGAGTCCTAGAACCAGGAAACAAGTTAGCATTTTTGCACTCCAGGTTACCTTGTCTTGACATCAGTGGGTTTTAATGCCTCCATATGTCCCATTCTTCTGAACGCAGTAGCTCAAGAATGCCTTGAAGGAATTCCTTAATATTTGGCACAAACATTTACTTGGACTCAGTGATAAACTGATTAAGTTTTTGTGGTCAAAGTGTCAAAGGTCAAGGTCAGCATGACCTTGCATCCATCTTATTCTTGTGAATGCAATATTTCAAGAACAGCTGGAGGGATTTTCTTCAAATTTGGCACAAACATCTACTTCACTGGCTTCATGTTAAATATCGCATTGATTTCAAGATTCTGCTCACCTTTAAGGCCCTTCATAATGAAGCCCCTCATACCTGTCTGAACTCCTTCATATCTACCTATTCCATTTCAAAACATTACCCTACTGAACAAAACATGTAGGCATCATAAACGTTTGCCACAGAGCTTATTTTCTGCAAGAATCCAAAAAAAAAAAAAAAAATCCATAGGATTTTTGACAAGAGAACCAGGGCAACGCTAACTTCCTGGTTGGCCAACAAAAAATCCCTGCACCACTCTGTTGCAGTTGGGGGACTGTCTAATGGAGAAAAGCGCCACTTTCTACCATGAAAAATCACTTATAAAGCTTCTAAACACAACTGGGCATGTTCCAGCAGGAATATGATCTGAAGTTGGAGATAAATTTACGTTAGGGACCGAGATTACATGTTTCCTTGATGTTAGCATGTAGCTACATGTAGCAATGTATGTAAACACCTGAAGTACTGGGCCTGGAGCAGATGACCAGTTAAAGTCACAGTGTGTAGGAATTTCTCCCATCTAACGTTGAAATCGCATATTGCATTCCAACGGATAGTGAACTGTAGCGCCTCACTGTTTCAAACGTGTATTGCAAACACGGTAGCCACTGTGTACCAAAAAGCTATGATAACACTGATGAAACCATGTCATCCAGTACTTCATGAAGTATTCATTCAGGCTCCTACACAGACACACGCGACGCAAGTTGACAAACCCCCTCCTCACCATGCTGGCTGTGTTTACAACGTAGGACTGTTGGGGTGGGTGTAAATCGAAACGAACCAATCACGTCTTGTCTTTTGACAACTGACAAGTGGGTCAGCCTCACACACCTCATCCCTCTCCTTGCATCACTGTGCCGCTGACAGCGGCACTGGCCTGTGATTGCATTGGCCTGGCCTGCCTGTCGGGAAAAATATGACAGGCAGGCCAGCAGGCCAATCACAGCTTCCCTTTTAAGACCTTTCTCCTTCAGCAGCTCTCTCCACCTGGGAAAGGCTACCCCAATGTTGACACTCGTTGTTTGAATTCGCCAGTCATTTTGCCTTTTTGATTCCCTTATGCGCTTCCTTGGCGACGAGGATTCCGTCTCCCGTGATGCTGCATATGCATGATCCTGCATTATGCTCAAAGGGTGGGATTTTGTTATGGTGCAGTAGAGCGGGGGTAGTAGCGAAGGGCCTCTGCTCCTCTGCTTCGGCTTCTTAGTCACACAGAGCTGGCCTGGCTCTCAGTGAAAACACCGAAGGCGGGCTATTCCCTGGTAGTGCTATATGTCCCTTGTTGGCGGGTGTATTTTCAAGATGGCGGAACGTTATGGAACCCCCCAAACCACTTAGAATGTACAAACAAATCTGAAATTCTACTTTCACGAGAATAAGCCAGATTATTGGTGGAGGTAATAATACACCAATGATGACATATTTATGAATGCAGACATCAATTTCTGCCAGTAAACAACTGAAAACGCTACACAATGTCCCTTTATAGAAATCAGTCGCCAGCTAATGTTAGCTTATCTCAAAAGTAGAAAAAAAAAATGTTGAAAACAGTATTCAGAACGGTCTGCAGCTTGAGGATTTTGCTCAGTGATTACTTTTTACATACATTTACCTCGTCATTAGAAACTTTGACCACGTTTAATATGAATCTCCCACACTGTAACATTAAAAATATCAGGGGTTCTCAACCATTTGTAACTTAAGGCCCACTTCTTATTGTATTAAAAAAGTTTCAGAGGACCACCTTCCCAAATATACAATTACAAAAATAGATAATGACAAAAAAAAACCCATAAAAAATAAACCAGTTTGTTAATATGTAATATGTCAGCTGTTAATGTTGACTTTCTGTTGTGCCTGAAGCCCGTCCCTTTTTCTGAGGAAATATTCCTTTGTCTTCCCAACACGTCCTGACTGGTTTAAGTTTCTCTGGAGCTTTGGTGGTGTTAATGCTTCATCTGACAGGATTTCACCACAGTCAACACACAGCATCACTGCCTGCCATTAGAAAGCAAATTTAATGCATTCAGGCTCATATTTCCACACCACACACACTAGAACTTGTACTGGCGCAGGGTTTTATCCCACATCACTTTTTCCATTTCAAAAACCCATCTGCTTTGAGCTAACAGTGGCAAAACAGTTATGTTTCTACAGTGTTTCATACAGAATATTTGCGTTG